ATACTTTTCTGTTTAACTTTTTAATCTCATCCTTTTCCCTGATAAAACAAGCATGACTTGGTATCTCTTCTCTTAAAATCTTACCTGCTTCTCAAAACTAGCCCATCTCCCTCCTTTGTTTCCTCACTAAGTTCACTGAATATACCATGTACAATTGCTGTCTGAAGTTTTTCTCAAGTTCCATCCTAGATGCTCTCTAATCCACTTTCCCCAAGTTTATACTTACTACTTCTGGGCCATATCCCAGAACAAGTAATCCATCCTCATCCATCCAACTGCCTTTGACATAGCTGTGCTCCTCTTGAAATCTTGTTTTTTCTTGCCTACCATAACCGTCCTCTCCAGCTTCTGACTGCTCTTCCAATGTATCTTTTAGAGCAGGGGTGGGCAATTATTTAGGATGGAGGGCTGCTTACTGAGTTTCATCAAGGTGTTGAGGGCCTCATGGATAGCCCTGCCCCTTGCCAGCTGCCCCGCCCCCCCAGTCACCATCTTGTGACCAGATGTCCTGCCCCCTAACCCCTGATTTTTGCCACCAGAAATCCTTCCCCTTCCCCCAGAAGTACTCCTTTAAGCAAGGGATTTTGCCATCTCAGAACCAGAAAAATACCAAATTATATTCTAAAAAGCAAACATCTACAGCACTTATTAACTTGGTTTAAAAAAATATTTTTGTCCTGATTTACATGCATTTGTGTAGTGTGTGTGTACACACACACACACACACACACACACACACACACACACACACACCAACGGGGCCCTGTGCTTCTCAGTCTGGCATGCAGCCAGGAGCCACATGGTGCCAGAGCAGGGCAGGGGTAGGAACAGTGAAATGGCTAGGGGTTTGGCAGGGGTGGTCTGCTCAGTCCTGCTGAGGGCTCCTGCTGGGTCCTACTGCCCCTTCTCCTTTGACAGGCAGCCAGGAGCAAAAAAATATTAATTTACTAATTTTTTTAGGGGCCCCACATGCCAGATAGAATGGCCTGGTGGGCAGAATCTGGCCCATTGGCCATATTTTGCCCACCCCTGTTTTAGAGGATTCTTTCCATGCTGTGTCCATCTTCCTTTGTGTAGGTCACCTGCTGCTCCTGTTGTCTTGAATTATTGTCCAGTTATCGTCTCCTGTTCAGCTGTTGTCCTGTTGCCATATTAAATTGTGATTCATTTAATATAGAAAAGTCAAAGTTTAAATTATGGTTCGTCCTGAATTCTTCCTGCTTCAGATACAAGTGCTAAATGTTCTACTTGGAGATAGACATCTTTCCTAGAAGCTTAATTACTAATTAGCCATTTTGTTTTGTAGAATGTTTACTGGCAGATATTCAACAGATTCTAGTTTCTAAACAGTAATGGCTAAACTCCAAACATTATTTAACAATTCTGTTTCTGCTGGGGAGGGGGCAGATTATGCTGTGGGGGAGAGGGATGCTCTGATTAGGGTTACCTCTATATTGAGGTTTTGTTAATAACATGTAGATCCTCTCTAAGTGTTTTTAGAATGTATTTAAAAAACAATTAACTTGCATCAATTTAGAAACATCTAAATACAAAGAAAACACCAGCAGGAAGTGTCTTTCTCAGTGACTTCACCACCAGTGTCTTTCACTTTAGGCACTGGACTGAGACTTAAAATTTTTAAGATTTCTTCCTAACGTTCTTAAAGACTCCCTTAGGGATCTTTGGCATGTCAAAGAATACAGGCACAGGCAAAACTCAAATATAATAAAGGACTTAGTCCATCTATCTGTCTGTCCATAACACTCTCTTGGAGCACTCTGGTTACTGAAACAACCAATCAGAGTGCTCCAAGAGTGTTATGGACAGGAGGCGTTGGCAGCACAGCAGAGTGCCACAATCATGGTGGGAATAGAGGTAATGGAACTGCTCCCCTGGCCCTGCTCCCTGGAGGTGGCATGGGATGCCAGATGAGGGGGACAGTGGGACAAGCTTCTGCCCCGCCCCGCCCCGCCCCGCCCCCCACTCCTGGGAGGCAGCAACAGGTCAGGGGGCAGTTAGGGTTAGGTCTAGCAAGCTTCCCCTCCCCCTGTTACTCTTGACAGGCAATTCACTACTTGTATAATAAGGTTATGATTTCCTTTGTCTGCATGGTGTATGTTTAGACTACATTCTATGGAACAGTTTGTTATTATTGGCCCTGGTTAGTGCCTCTGCCTGCTACTGCAGTACATACACATAAAAAGTCAGAAAGTCTTAAAAGGATCCCATCTCATGCTCTCTCAAAGAAATGTAGCCACTGTGAGTTCAATGCCTAGGTTTGGCATTATCTTAGTGTATAGCTCTCCATCACAATATCTTCATGTGTAGAATGGAGCTAAAAGGCACAATTCACTCTGTTTGGAGGGAGCTAGGCTACATCATCTTGTTGAAAAGGAAAATGAACCTGGACTTAGCCAATGTAACACCAGAAATGAGAAGCCAGACTTCCCTGGGTAGAGTACTTATGGCCTTTGCCTCCAGTTTAAAGATGTCCTTGTCTTTTGGGAATTCCATACAAGATGATGTGGAAAATGTCCGGGTGCATCCCCACAAGTGGGACCATGCAGTTTGTGGCACCTCAAAGTATTTTGAGGTACCATGAAATGCATGGGGCATTTATGATTCTGTTCACCGTGCTCCTTATTTCACCATATATTTCCAGTGGGTCTGATTCTGTTCATCATACCAGTTTCAGTGTTTATACTGCTACAGCTTTATTAGCTTCAAAGGATTTATTTCCAGTATGGCAGCAAAATTAAAAATTATTTGCAATGTGGGGGCAAAATTGGATACCAGGAAATCCTGGTATCTAAAAAACCCACCCCAGAAAAAAAGCAGGGTGGTGCATGTGGTTGCAGCAACGTGCACCACCTGAAACCAGATCCTAGCCCTCAGGACCCCAGGTAAGGCTGCTGGGGCCAGCTCACATTTTCTACCCCACCCAGGTCAATTTGCTGCATGCCAGAGTGCACATGCAGGGACGTACCCAGAGACAACTAGCAGCAGTACAAATATGTGCCACTGCTATTTGTCCTAAGGGGGTTTCTGCTCATGGGGATGCACTCTACCTATTCTTTTCTAGAACTGAAATATTCCTGCAGCTGTCCAGGGGAGGACTGAATCAGAAATATGTTTTGCAAAACACTCTGAAGGGAAGAGGTGCTAAGTGTTATTAGTGAAGTACTAAAAAAATAATTTGGATTACACACTTCTTAAAAAAAAACAAGAAATTGGTTCTGGATTAAGCAGTGTGAATAAAAAGGGAGGAAACAATATTAATTCCCCTTAAATTATGATGGCTCAATCTTTTTTGTTGCAATGACGAGCAAAACTCCCTTTACTTCCATGTAATGAGGACTGGATTTGCATAGATAATGGGAAGACTTTTCCTCTCATTGTATAGAGCAGGGGTTGTCAACCAGGGGTATAGGTACCCCCAGGGGTACTTGGGAAGGCCCTAGAGGGTACACATGGGCAGGTTGGGACAGAGTGCTGCCACCCACCACCCCATGCTCCCGCCTCCCAGGAGGCCCAGAGGCAGGGGAGGGAGAAGCAGCCACTGCCACAACCACCCCATCCTGCCACAGCAACGCATCTGGTTGTGTGCCACACCCCCGCGCCCAGCCCCTGCTCCTTGTCTGGCCGCAT